TCTGTGAGCCAGACTAGTTTCGGAGAATTCCACTGCTCATCAGTGACTCTGGACACTACCACCAATGAAATATCAAACCAAGCCTTTGTAGTAGTGAGATATCGAAAGTTCGCCATAGGATCGGGGCTTTGGTTTGTTTAATACTAAACCAATTAGGGTAAGAGGTAGGTCTACCTATAGGTTTCAAATTACTGAAACAAACGCATATCTTTGGCATCTAAGATTGGATTGTTCAATTCCTCTTTTAAGGTGGAATAAAAGTACTCTCTTTCTTTAGATTTCAGGTTGTGGAAAACGTGGCGACAACAAAGATTGATCAATTGAAAAGTATGAAAGAGAAAGGAAGCCATATTCTGATCTTATAATATTAATGTTATAATGAGGTATTTTTTCATATTAATAATTTACTACTTGAAATAGTGTTCACTATCGATGTTAATCGCAGTTTAATTCGCAAAAAAATAAACATGAAATTCGCATACGTAATTATCAAAATAAACTAAGGTTGAATTCTTTGGGGCGCCACCTACCCACTTTAAAATCTCTTATGTCATAGATGAGGTATATGAATTGGAACATAATCAACTAATTTATTTCAATTTGTTTTTCAGACGAACCACCATATATCATGGTTGATAGTAAACGCCGTGATATCAATTCATAATTTAAGTTTCCAAGAGACGGTGTATCCATTTCAAGTACGAGAATGTTGCGCGGGAAATATCATAATCAGTGGCGCCAATTTGTGGCGGGGGAGGGTTTTTAAGGGTTTATTTGAAGTTAAGCACACTATACGGGCTATCTGTGCTCTGCCCACCACGGGTATCGAAACCCGGTTTCTAGCGTTGTGAGTCCGCAGACATACCGCTGTAGCACTAGGAGGCTGGGGAGAGAGAAGTCGCCACACCCAAGCTTTAATTTTGGTTTTAGAAATGTAAAAAAATCTGGTTAATGGGCTATATTTATGGGATATGACTAATATTAATATATATAAAGTACAAAGTCGAAATTTCCATGTTCGTTGTTGTTCCTCATAACCCTCTGGCTCTTACGTTGTTCTTACATTTCATGTATTTTGTAGAAATCAGGGTTAAACTTTGCCCCCCCCCAATATTTTGCTTAGATGGCGCCACTGCTTAGAGTTGATCTCAGAGGAATAGCAGTAGCCATCTTTAGAAGCCGATGCTTGTTAACTGTCTTGGTTACCGCCAGGGCAGCATTAACAATTATGACACCCTTTCTATTCAGTTGAATATTTTTTAAACTTTTATAATATCAATTATAACATTCTAGACTTGTATCTTTGTTTACATATAAAAAAAAACGACTAATTACAAACTTATAAATATATAAAATGGCTCACATTGGAATTGACACGAGTGAAATAAATCACCATGGTACAAAAAAAAAAAGAAATCCAACCTAAGTTTTAATTTATGGTAGTTTTGGGTATATACTATAGTTCTTGTTTAAGTATAACATAGATGAGGTTAAATCTGATAGAAAGCTTACTTTATTCGATTTAGAAAAAGGAAACATAAATACAGTGTAAATAGTAATAACTGTAAATCTTCTTCGTAGAGGGCGGTAGCGAACAACAAACATAAGAACGAGAATAACTTTGTAACATCCAACTAGCTTACTTCATACTACATTATCAACCTACAAAAACATTTCTTTTATATTTGTATCAATGTTATTGCGCGAAATAAATAGTGGCATTACTTACTCAGATTTTATACTTTTTTACATACATATTTATATATGTATATATAAACAACACATTCTTTATTACGTCATCGTTCTGTTTTGTGATCACGAATACGAAGATTGAAACTACACTGGTTTGACTCAACAAGACTCTTTAAAAATCACTAATTATATAACTGAACATCGACTACCGTAGCAAAGACTATTTTGCGTTTCTTTGTTTTTTTACATAATTTTCGCTTCTTTTTACAGCAAACAACAAACTATTTTCACTTCTCTATTTAGCAAAATATGCGTCACATTACTCTTAAACGTTTGCTGCATTATACCGAAGACAGAAATATGATAACAATGACTATAACAATAACTTACATGTTGTTGAAAAATACATTTTTCTATTTATACCTACATAAAATAATAAAGTTATTTCAATTGTTACTGTTTTTTTATTTCTTATTCTACTGTACAGACTTAATTCTACTCTTAGCCTTCGTCTGTCAACGTAATGTTTACTAAGTATAGCAGTTTCAACACGGTTCAAAAAATTTAAGTAAATATTCAATGATACAAGTTTTGCCTGAAATATCAATGTCTATTACCTATTTCGAATTACTTCAGAATAACCATTTTATATACTTTGCTCTCATACTTTGATTACTTTATGGAATAAAGTTTCTTATAATTCGAGAGGTCCGATTTGTCCAGAATCATTGTTGTTTCCATTGGTAGCTTTATCTTTAGTAGGGGATTCTGACGCCACGTGATTATTGTACGAAGTCACGTAGTTTCCCACGCGCACGTCAGGACAAGAAGTATCATTCTGAAACGATGACCTTGGAATGTTGATGTGGGACTCAGCTGCATGTGTCGACGACGTTTCGTCTATCTCTTTCAAAATCTTGATCTTTTGGATCATTTCGCGAATCTCGTAACGGAGAATTCCTAAGAAACACACTTTAAGAAAAGCAATAACACAGAAACCCAGCACGGACAGCATATCTGCACTGCGTTGAAACCACCTAAACACAGCACCGTAACAACCTTCTTGATACACATTATATCCTGTGTAGTTTTGAACGCACGTGCGATTCTCGAGATCATTCTGTACGTACGAGTCTCCCGATTGCTCTTTACAGCAACTCAGTGGCACCACCTGGTGATATCGCAAAAAATCACGTCGTTGTCCAGTGATCCATACGGATAGATTAAAGTCTTGTGGTTCGTTTACACCACAGCAGTGTTCTTCTCGCTGAATACGATCCCAGAGAACCTGGTAGTCTAAACTGTTACCGTAATCTGTTTGTAATCTCGCTCTCAGATCGCTGAGTAAGTGAGACGCGATGTGATTATAATGGAAGATCCACACAAAACCAATGATGACGTCACCTACAAGAAGCATCAGCATGAGAGACCAATATATATTAATCAGTCGCTCGTTTAGCTTTAAAGCACCCAAGCAACCAACAGCTTGAAGAATCCCACCTTGAAGAATAAGGGCTAAATAAGCGTAGATGAATGTGGGATGGTGAAAACGAATAGTAGGAAAGAAAGCCATTCTATAATCGGAAAAGGTCCACGCAGCTAAGGAGACAAAGATGATAACGCTAAGGAGAAGAGCCAGGTTACAGGAGTAGATCCAGAACCTGTAGTACCTCATCGCTCTATTGAGGAACATGGGGCTCACTTGATGGGGGCTAGTAGGTAACCACGAACCACCGAGAAAGCCAGCTTCAGACTGGTTTCGTCTGTGCAAACCTGTGGACAGCTACTGGCACGCTTAGCTAGATTTCTTTTTGTTAAAGGTCAACCACTTCTGAAATATCTACTACGCAATAACTTAACTGACGGAGCTTTGAAAATAGCTGATAAGTTTCAGAAAAAAATGAACTTTTAGATATAATGTCTACTAACGATAAATCCAATATGATTTTTCTGTGATCCTAACATTGGCCATAACTTTATCTTGAAAACGTAGATTGGTAACTACTTTGTTATCATAAACGTAACGTTTTTGGTCACTAGTAAGTGACTTCACCACTGCTACTACTACTGTAAAGGATTCTCAATATGCACGAGAACCTCATAAGATTCCCGTTTTTCTTACTCTTCATGAAACGTTATGCTGACCGTGACATTTAGGAACTGATAGAATTAATATTTACCTTCGGGTACTGACACGTGAAAAAACAAGAGACCATAGAAAGATTCATTCTTCTCATGCCAAGTGCCTTACTAACTAAAGCCTCTATCACAGCAGGTTTTGCTCCTGGCAATGCAATTCCATCGACAGACGAACGTAAACTTTAGATAACCATCCAGCTAGACACTGATTATTTCCGGTTGTTTCCGGCTGATGAAACAAAGTTCGCGGCTTAATTTCCTAATCTCTTAATTCAAGTAAAACCTTTTATCTTACTTCACAAAAAGGCAGATGAACGGTCTGTTTTGAAGTTTGCTTGAAGACTCTGAAAAAGGAAAAAGAAAGAAATCCACATCAGTCTGACATAAACTTAGTTAGTATAACATACTTTTATTTCTTTAAGAGAGGGCAAAGACGAGTTTCAGTGACATTAATTAAAAAATAAAATAAGCAATTCCTGTTTTTACTGGACCACCTTGCTCTTGTATTAGATTCAGTTTGTGAAAAAACAAACAACCTTCGTATTGATTAAAACAAGTATTTCCCTCAAGTTCAGATTTCATTTTTTATAATGAACCGACGTAGACACGTTCTTTAAGAAGATATAACAGTTCTTTAAAAACTCATACGTTCATTTTACGTGACTTCACTATCAAATTATTTACGTTCGGCCTGGTATTGAAGGCGCTTGACTCAAAATCTGTGGGTTCGAATCCCGTCACCGAACATGCTTGTTCTTTCAGTCGTGGAGGCGTTATAAGGTAGAGTCAATCCCACTGTTCGTTGGTAAAAGAGTAGTCCAAGAGTTGACGGTGTTGACTAAACTGCCTTCCCTCTAGTTTATCACTGCTAAATTAGAGACGGCTAGTGCAGATAGCCTTCGTCTAGCTTTGCGCGAAATTCCGAATAAACCATTCACATTTTTTTACTTATTTTCTATTTTGGATTTTTATGACACAAACTAACTTAAATCTTATGTGTGTGTGTGTGTTTTCACTGCTGCTTGTTTGTTTCAGAGCAAAGTCACATTTGACTATCTTTTGTGTCCATCACGGGGAATCGAATCCCTTATTTTAGCGTTGTAAATCCGTAAACTTATTACTGTCTCACCGGGAGTCTTTCACTGCTGATGCCAATGTTAGCCTAACCCCATAATACCTGTTTATAGAAAACTAACACGAGTTACTTAGTGCCACTCAGAAAACATTTCAGTTCAATATACACGTATTTGCTCTTTTTTGTTGTTGGAGTTGGGTGCGTGGGTTACGAATTGCGTAAATTACGAAAAAAACTATAGTAGTTGATTGTCACAGAAAGTTAACAATAACGCAAGCAGGCACGCGATCACGAAGGAGACACCTATTACATGCTTGGCAACTTTCTAACTGGAATAGGCTTAGCTGATGAAAGTCAACGACGTTTCAGCGAGTTAGGGAGGAATCCGGGAAGAGGTGGTGGGTGATTTTTGATAATTGAATTTCATTTAGTTCATTCCTGTACATTTTATTCAACAAACGATATATGTTTGCAAATTGTGCCTTGATAACAATCACAATGGCGGCAAATCTTTGGAACACCTCATGTATCGCTAAACTCGTGATGATCATTATGGGTGTTTGTGTTTACGACGAATCCTAGCTCATGCGATTATTTAGAACATAGCGAGAAACATAAAAACAGACATCGACTTCTTCAAATTTAGGTTACGTTTTAACATACAGTTTGTTGTTCAAGCAACAATATGTAAAATGAGTGACTAAAAATCAGAATTTACCAGGTAAAAGAGTTGGTTGGTTATGTTGGTTGCGTTTGCCGTTCATAGTTTGGAACTGAGAAACTAGAGGGAAGGTTTTTGTTTCGTTTAAATTTCGCGCATAGCTTCACGAGGGTTATCCGCGCTATCCCTCCCTAATTTAGCAGTGAAAGACTAGAGGGAAGACAGCTAGTCATTATCACCCACCGCCAACTCTTGGGCAACACTTTTACCAACGAATAGTGGGATTGGCCGTCACATTATAACGCCCACACGGCTGAAGGGGCGAGCATATTTGGTGAGACGTGGATTCTAACCCGCGACCCTCAGATTGAGAGTCAAGCGCCCTAACCACTTGACCATGCCAGGCCCTAGAGGGAATGAAGACAGCTAATCAACAACATCTAGCGCCACCTATTTGGCAACTATAATCAAATATTGGGATTTGACAATCACTCCTATACTTTTCCCAAGGCCCCAAAGTGCAGGGTGTAATTTTGCAGCAATGGCACATGGACTGTAGACCCGCGGATCAACAATGAGACACTGACCTTTGGGCCACACCCGGCCCTCGGAGAAATGATGAAAAATTGGAACAGTTGGAAGGTATTGTGCTACCTGACACTCTTACACAGCATGCTATATTTCTTTTTCATTATTGAATACTAACTAATAAGATAAAGCCCGGTCCAAGTACAAACAAAATAATTAATTATTTCAGTACATTGGCTACATTTCTTAGCTAGCCACTACTTTGTGAGCATGAAATTAGCCCAAATATTAGGCCTAACCATTTCAAAACCCATAAAATGGTTTAGCATGTACAGTATTTCAAATATACCTGTGTACTTAATGCTGTAATACAAATCTATATCTACAAACGTTAATGAAAAAGTGACTAAGTAAGTAGCTTTTCTCACAACAAGCGAATCTAAGGTAGTTTTTACCATTGCTACCTTATTAGAAATTAATAATAATGATACCTACTCAACCCACTTCTCACGTGTAGGAAATAACTTTATGTTATATCTAGATAGAAAGAAAAAAACCAAAAAAAACAATACTTAAAATAAAATAAAGTATTACTTTTACGTGGCAGTATAGCGTTAGTGGTGTGAACCTAGCCAATTTAAAACAAGATTCTTTATGGGTGTACGTATATAAAAAAAAAAATGTCTACATCTTTCGTAATATTGTTTTGTTGATCGCCTGTTAACCCTAGCACCATCTGACATTAAATCGAAGCCCTCAAAAGAATGATTGAGTTCCTAACTTCAAATAACACCATGGTATCGATAAACCTTTCTAGGGTAAGTTTATAAGTTAATAACCCTTCCTTTATTTCCTTAACCATACGTTAGTAAAAAGCATATTAAACTCAAGCATAGTTCTATATAAATTAATAACTATAATACTATTCGATAGATTACTTTTCAATAGGCGATTAAATCAATAATAAATTTAATACGAAACAAAAACAACTACAAAATCAAAAATTACTCGTCCATTACCAGTCCTCGTTTTCATCTAGGTCATAACGGATAATTTCTGTGGTCATAGCACCCATACGCGTTGGGAATATTCTACCTATCAGACAAGATCCAGACGTTGATGTCAAGCTAGTCAGCAACTAAGGAGAATCAGTTAAGGGTTGGGAGTTAAGTGTTTGAACCTACAACGTCTCAACTCCTACTGCCTTTCGCTGTCTGTAGCCAGTTGTGGGAAGGCAGTTACTCTTAATATTTAGATGTAACCTCAAAGTAAAATTAAACCGCCCTCAAATTCTACAGTGTAAAAATCCGAACCTCAACCCTTGTCATTTTGATATTATGAGAAGTACAAAAAAACAAAAAATATTTTTATAGTAGAAATGTACCATCATATATTTCTACAGGACTCCCAACTTTACATATATATAAATATATATGGTCATAAAAACGTGTCTCAGAATACTATACAACAAAATGCGGATCTAGTTTCACTGACCTTTCAAGGGACAAGGGATAGTGTATGAAACAATCAGCCAACTTCTATTTATTCTGTATATGTTTTTAATGTTACTTTCATTAACAATATTGACTAAAATGTTGAATATATATATCGATTTTTATTACTTTTAAAAGTTTGTATTATATATATTCATTGTAAGGATTATCTTACACTGTTAGCTTAGTATATTAAAAAGACTAACCTAAATCTCGTAAGATATTATTAGAATTATGGCCGAAAATATCGCTAAGAGTCAGGGCACCAATCCGATGAAACAATGCATTCTAATCATTTTAAGTAATAACGTGAAAACATTATACTGAATTAGTTATATTCATTACTGGCTTAACGTTTAGTTCTGATCAATGTAAGTATACAACTAGCTTTGGTCACAAGTTGATATCAACTAATAAAAATAATAAGTTGACGAGTTCAACCTTTCAAACATGCACGTTAATTTATTGTACAAATTTAAAAGCAAAAGTAAAATGCTAAGAAACTCTCTACATTGTTAAACATTATCCACTAAGAAACTTCCTACATTGTTGAACATTATCCACTAAGAAACTCCCTATATTGTTGAATATTATCCACTAAGAAACTCCCTACATTGTTGAGCATTATCCACTAAGAAACTCCCTACATTGTTGAACATTATCCA